TATCGCTATCCCTAGCCGGTACGTCCGTACATATTATTATTATCATTTTTGTGTTCTGTTTTTTTTGCTTTATTAGCACCCGTAGGGGAGCCTCATGGCGTATGCTCAATGTGTGATAAAAACCGGACAGAGAGACTGACAGCGAGAGAGAGCGAAAGCCTAATGAGACTTTTTAATAAATTGCCTTTGGCCTGTGTGGCACGTTTTTAGTACAATTTTCATTATTAATAAAACTTTATGACATCTATATCTGTGTTTGTTTCATAAAAAAAGGGGCCAGAGACACACACATGCACGATATATTATTCCAATTAAATTTACCAACTTCGTTTGTCATTGTCCTGCATATATTTTACGGGCGTGTGTGCGTCACCTATTTGACAGCTATCAAAAGTTGGCTACCATTTTCGATCATGCGTTTTCTAATGCCGACAATTGTTGGAGCCAAGAGTTCTCCACAAAAAATAATGAATGATAAGGAGAAGGATAAGGGCCACATTTTTTAAACAGAATAAAAGTTATCAAATTAAATGTAAAAATTCGATTCGGCGTGTAGTTTGGCAGCTGATCTTATTCTGTTAAATAAATAGTTAATTTCGCAACAACAGGATCTATTTGAAGCTTTGGGTAATCCAACCATGAAATATTTGACCTCAATTTCTAGCATTTCGCGTCGAGAAATATCTCTAGACGCCTAGTAGAACTGTGCGAAAAATTTCAAATTGTTTTAAGCGGAATATTCTTGAGTTTTGATTTGAATTTGAATTGCATTTTAAGATGCAATACACCTGCAAATGCAATTCCTAATCAGTTATTAAAATGCGGCAGCATTAAAGGTAGAATAAAGAAATTGAGAAATAACCCCATGAAGTACATGCATCTCTTGTTGAATTCTATGGATATATATTGAGTATTTGCTAGATAGATTTAAATGTACATAGGTAATAAATATATATATGCAATCCGTCAATTTCCATAGTTACGTCTCAAGCTATCAATCTTTTGGTAAGTCTGGAAAGTAACGTGGATTGCAAGACAACTTAATGTTATGCGATTTTTTGTTTAAGCATTCCAAAGCATTAAGCAATATAATTTGATGAATTTGCCAATTTTAATTTGATTTGATTTTGATTTTTTGTAAGCCAATTTATGGAATTTTCATTAGAGTTTCTTTTATGCAAGCGGATAGAGTTTTTATATTGTTCTACAGTTCGGTTATAGGATTAGATCAGATTATTATTGGTGGTGGTTTAATGTTGCTGAGGGGGTTTTGGGGGTTTTATTCGTGCACTCACAATGTCTCTGGCCAGAGAGAGCATCTTTAATCCTAAGTGTAAACTTGAGCGCTTCGAGCGGAAACGGTAACGAAAACGGAAACTCCACACATAATGCATATTTGTGGCTAATATTTGTTTAATTATTATTGATTTTGTTAACGATTAAAGCACTTTATTGGTTTTGATTTTGTTTTTTTTAGCACATGGTTTTTGGTTAGAAAAATACAAAAATGAGCCACCACTTGACAGGAATTAATTATTTCTTATTGTTATTGGCTTACAAATCCTTGGCTTTGGGGGTTTTTTTTTTGTCACTTGAACACTTTTGGAAACACTGAAATCGGCAGATTCTTATGCATAATGCTTCTCATTTTTGTGATATTTATTCTGATTCCAAATCTGCAGCTGAGATTCGTTTTCTGGCAAACTTACAGAACTTGTACGGGGCGTTACACTTATTCGATCATGCCGACAAGTCTTAAACGACGTTGTGGTAGCCACGCGCGGCTACTTCTGCACCACGTACGCGTTTTCTGTAGACTGAATCGGGCTTTTCCGTTTTCCCATGCGCCAGCCTGCCCGCCAAAGGATGCACAGGCAGCGTCGAGACACCCACACAGACACATGCAGAAGAGAGACACAGCGTGAGAGAGAGCGAGCAGCCACAACCACCACCAAGAGGCAGCACACCACCCCCACCGCCCGACAGCCACAACGCTCTGTTGCTATTTTGTTTACTTCTCGCTGTGGGGGCGGCAAGAGAAATGAGTGGAGTGTGGAGTGCGGAGTGCGGCGGGAGGTGTGCGGGGGTGTTTGCTCCACAAGCCAAAACATGTGTTAACCTTTTTCAGCGGCCAGCAAACTGGCTTAAGGTGCGCTACGAAAGGTAAAAATGAGTTCTTAAGAAAGTATTGCCTACTTTTGTGGGCATTCACATTCTACGAAAAAAACTCCACAAAATCTTCAACTTTTCCAATGAAAATGAAAGATTTTCGACTTAATACCATAATTATATGTATACAGCGCGCCCACTTGATGGATTCTTAGGGAATTAAACACACACCGACGCACACACACACAAACGTACACGTATGAGTATTAAAATCCTACCCTTAGCTCGCAGGACATGCGTATTTGGTCGAAAGTATAAAAAAAGAGAGGAAAAAAGAAGAGAATTGTGCCCTCGCAAGCAGTTAAGGGAGTCCCACGCTGTAGTTGTTGTTGTTGTTGTTGTTGTTGCTGTTGCTAAAACAGTTTATCAACACGAGCAAGTCTCTGATAAAACAATCATCGTTTATGGTGCAACACGCTGCTCCCCCCTGCCCACCCTCCGGATATTCCTGCAGCATAATTGAGAGATAGTCCAGTGACCAGAACCCTTACTGTGGGGGGTGGTGGCTGTGGCACTCGAGTGGGCATGGTGTGGCGTGTGGAGTGCGGACATGTTCCGTAACCGCATGATTAGAAATCGACTAAAGTCGATGACAAAATGTCCTGCTGAGGGGGTGGGTTGAGGGTGCCCGACTGGCGGGAGGCGGGTGAAACTAGGTTAAACTCAAACCCAAACCATTCAAATTTTCGTTAAATGATTTTTGAACTAGTTTATGACAAACAAAATCAGTGAAAAGGCGGAACCTGCGTGCGACTTGCTCGGTAACTGCCGCTACCGCTGCCCCCTTAAACGGTTTGGCTTCCCCATCCAACGAAATGGGGGCACGCGGCGGAAATGAGAAGGCATAGTTTTTCGCATTTTCTTTTAAATTACAAACAAAAAAATAATAAAAAACGGGAGAAGTAGAATGAACGGAGCAGGTCAGAGGCCAGAATACACTTGACGAGAAAAAAAGGTTCCGATAAATTATGATGCATTAATTATAGTTGCTATTTATGTATGCAATCATATTAAAGGCGTTAATATTTCGAACAAATATAGCTCACATATTAAATATATTTTTAATAAATAAATTACGGAAATTGGAAATAAATTCCAGCTGACCTTTCTGCATAATTATAAATTACAAATTACCGCAGGGCCATGCAGCATTTAATTGCTATAATCTAAGCTGTTAAAATGTGTCAAAGCTTAAGGAATAATTATAATATAAAGGAGTTGAAATACTCCACTGCAACATTCGTAACCAAAAGTCAGTCATTGCCAAACCTTTCGTTAGAGTATTTCACTAGAAAAGGCGAATGAGAAATCAAATATGCGCTTAGCACGATATATTCAAATTTTGCTGCGTTTACGGTTGTTCCAGCGGACAGATGGTTGCTTTATTTCACTTGTTTTGCATGCCACGCGCCCCGCACTTATTTGTCGCCCTTACTGCTGGTTGAACTTTGCCGCTGTCGGTGCTGCAGTAGCTCCTGGTATTGCTCCACGGAGCCATCCTCGTGCTTGGAGGCGAATGCCGGCTGGGCCGTCTTGGCCTGCGCATCGTCGGCGGCGTCTCTGCCGACGTTGGCAGACTTTTGGGCACGCTTCGTCTTCTTGATTTTGTCGCGCACGCGTTTGCTCAGTCGTGATGCGGCAAGCACCTGGCTGACCTTGGAGCTCTTCAGGTAGCGAGTGCGCCATGACTGCAAAACAGAGAGGAAGATGAGCTTTAGCTAGAGGAAAGACTTGCTTTGGTGTTTGTTAGTTACCTCGGGATCGGTTTCCTTTAGCTTTTCGCGCTCATCTTCGCTGGTGTCCAGCAGAATGACATCGTTGTCCATTTCCTCGGCATTTGGCTGCTTCTCCGTCTTAACTGTCGCCGCGGGCGGTTCGTCCTCCTTGGTCATTTCCTCAATCATGTCCAGATCGCCGCCTATCGATATAACATCATCGTTTTGATCTTCATCTTCCAGTAGGGGCGGATCTGCGGCAGTGGGTGGAGGCGACTCTTCCTTGGTTGCTTCTTCATCGGCCACAGCTGCTTTTTCTGGCGTGGGCGGCTGTGCAGTCTCTGTGGGTGGCTCCTTCTCTTCTGGCTGCTCTTCGATTGGTTCGATTGGTTTAGTAGCCTCCACAGGCGCCACAGGCTCATCTCGCACTTCTCCCTCCTCTGGCTCGCTCTCCACAACAGGCTCTGGCGTTGGTTCCTTAGCAGCTGGTTTTGCCACTTCCTTCGTTGTCTGCTGTGGTGCCTCGTCGTCGGTGCTGTCGCTGATCAGCAGCGTCTCGGTCTCCGTGGGTATGGGTATTACATCTGGCGATACCGAACGTGATCTGTCCTTGGCCGCATCTTCTGTGGCAGCAGCAGCTGTGGTTGCGACAGGCGCAACAATTTTCTCTGGCGATTTTGTGGGCTGTCGATAGTTTCGCTTGATTTTGATTCTCTGACGCGGCGTTGTTTCCTTTCTACTGCTCTCTGCAGCTGCTGTCTGCTGTGGCTCCTTTCTGGCTGACTGTTCGCTAAGCTTGCGCTTGTCGGGCACGCGGCTGCTGCTTCTGCGCTTTTGTGTTGCGCTGCTGCTGCTGCTGCGTTTCTCCGGCACGCTGCTCTTTTCGCTGCGCTTCTCCTTTTCCTTAGATGTCGCTTTGCTTGCTTGATCCTCTTCCTCCTCGTCATCATCTGATTTTACCTCAATCTTGGTGATGGGTTCCATGGCCAGCTGCGAGCGTATGGCGCGTGCTCTCGCCTGCAGCTCCAGCAGTTCCAAAACGCTAATTTGTCCACCAGCTGTGGATAAAGAAGAGATTGATTAAGGTCTTTGTGTACAGGTAGCAATCATAAACAGAGTAATCATGAATTTACTCTCGCATTTGTTTTAGTTTCACTTACACGCCTTGTTTTCGTTTCCATTATTTACTTGTTTCGCTTTCAGTTTCTTCCTTTTGGCTAAAAGTGAAACAGAAGACGACACACATTAGCAAATTATTAGAAAGTTTGAATTTAAATTAAAGTGCAATGGAGAAGCCTTTGCTGCTGGACAGCCAGGAGTCTGTAGAGGGCGAAGACGAACATTTAGAGGATGAGAATCAATTGGACAAGTTCACGGTGCGGCTGAATGGACAACACGATCTGGAGCAGCGGCTGCGTGACTTCAAGGCTGCCTGCGAGGCGCATGAAAAACATGCCAGGCGACGCAAGCGGCGGCGCTACTACCACATGGGACTGATGGCCAAACTGGTGACGGAGACAACGCCCGACGAGCTGCGACGTATGCTGGAGAATGGCACCTACACCTTTCATGTGGACGCCGTGTCCAACAAGCCCGAGGAGCTCAATGCCATACTGGAGACGCTACACCTTGCCATTGCGGAGCATATCGAGGAGCGGGAGCTGCGCCTAGCCACCGGCCTGGCTCTGGAGATCAATGGCGAGTGCTGTCGAGTGGGCAGACTGCGAAACAACTCCGCTGTGATGCTGGCACGGGGCGCTGTCGTGACGCTGACCACGAACGAGGAATATCGCTACGGGGGCTACAAGGAGATAATCTTTGTGATCAATCTTCTGGCGTATCTAAAGTCAGTCAAGATCAACGACATTCTGCTGATTGGCCATGAGGTGCGCTGCCGTGTGGTGAAGACGCTGCGCGAGGCCCTCACCGTGCTGATCATCGATGCGGGTCTGCTAACGGGCTACGACTTTATAGAGCTGCCAAGACAGTGCCATGCGCTGGATCCTGCTGTGTATCCAGACCTCTACATGCGGGACCTAAAGCTGGCCACTGAGCTGAAGGCCAACTTTGTGGTGCTGCCGAAAATACGCTGCAAAAACTTCCTGAAGGCCGTTCGGCGGTCCATCAAGGAGGAGTTTGACCTGAAGCTGATTGGAATGATCGATTTTGAGTATGTGCGCACGAACATGCTGGATCTGCTGGGCATTATCAAGCTGTTGGATTACATCTGGATACCGGACATGTTCAATGTGAGTTGCTGCGTCTACAACTACATCATGGAGGATGTGCTGCCCATTGCGCAGTGCCAGAAGAAGCCGGTGATTGGCACGGTGCCACTCGAGCGCTGCAGCGACTTTAAGCGCTTCGAGTTGCACGAGTTCCTGTGGAAGATCGACTGCATACACATCCAGAAGAGTGCGTGGTGCAACAAGTATCCGTTGATTGTCAAGAAACTTATGCCCATTCGCGACTATCGCGTCGGCGTGGTCCAGAACAAGATGACAGTGAAGAACATTCTGACCTCGTTCCAGACGATTGTGAACTTTATCATACGCACAATCAGCTCCATCGAGTGCCAAGCGGTGTTCATCTTCACCAAGTGCGAGAATGCCAGCGTTGCCTTGGCTCGCACAGAGATATATTGCCCTGTTTTCCTTATGATGCCGCTGCTGGATGAGGACGATGAGGCCACCATCAAGTGTCACTTTGATCACGCTCGAGCGCTGCATCTGCGCCGCAACATGCATCCCGTGCTGTACACGAAGGACCTGAACGAATGCAACTACAGTCCGATCGAGTTTGGTGTGGATTACATGCGGCGCAAGGGCTGCCTCGAGGTGGGTGACTTTGTGGTCACCCTGGAGGTGGGCAAGGAGGATGAGGAGAATGTGGTCATTGGCATTGGCGAGGATGTGTGCATTCTTCGCGCCTTCTACGTGTCTCCCGTGGATGGTTGCGAGAAGTTCAAATATGGCACGTAAAGCAGGAGACTTTGTTTCGTGCATTTGTGCAGATTTAACTCCAAATTAAATAGTAACAGTATTACTCACTTCTGCGTGCTTCTTGTCCACCGATGTCGCTGTCAGATGAAATCTCCTCCAGCGAAATGTGTTCTGCAAATAGCAAGCGATAATTAAGCGGTTATAGAATGTGTTTACACTGGCTCACCTTCTTTGTGCTCCACATCCGAGTCCTCGGAGCTCTCCGTGTCTGTGGGACAGCGGGTGCCATCAATTATTGACCTGAGCCGCTTGGTGGACAAACACAGCAGCTCCTCCAGGCAGAGCTCTTCAATCTCATCCAGGGAGTTTTTCTGCAGTTATAAATGATCAATTAGTTTATATTTGTTAGTTTCTTTCTCTCTCCTACCTTGAGAAACTCTGGGGCCAGATTGATGATGGTCTTCGGCTTGAGGGTGCCGAAAATTTGTTTCACCAGCTCCAGACGGTCATCGATGTAGTGGGAAATGGGATGTAGCGTGCGATCCTCCTCAGTCTTTTCCTTCTTGATGCTAATCGGCTTTGGTATTTGGTCAGACACCTTAACCTTTTTCTTTATGCTGCTGCTCATTTTTCATAAAATGTTATAAACAATTTTCGGTCTTTTAGCCGGGCGTTGCCGTACTTGCGCGTTCAACTGCAGTGGCAGCGCGCCGCAGTTTTTTGACAGTTCAGAACAGCTGATTCCGCCGACGTTCGAGAGTGTGTAATTACAGAAAAGTTGTGTTTTTTTGCAATAAATTACCAAACAAAAAGTTGAGGTATGTAATTAATTGGTAAAATATTTTACAAGCATACACAGAGGTTGCGCAGAAAGACAGGCTATTTAGTAGATTGATATCCAAAAAGAAAACGAGCTAGTAAAGTGTTACCGCCACTCTGCGGTGTTGCCACTCTTCTGAACTCGAACATATGTTCGGAAGAGTCGTCAAGGGGGGTTAAAGCGTCGGTAAAAATAGCCATTCAGCAAAAACCTTTTTAAGTGCAAATAGTGTTGGTAGCGAAGTAGCGTCGAACAAACAAATGTGGTGGAACGGTCGAGTGTGTGCAAATGTGTGCGGCGCATTATAGTCCGCCGTAGAACTAATTAAATAGCCGCAGAAAAGTTGGTGAACAGATTTGACGGACTACCACGGGCATAAGTCAAAGTACAAATCCCCCCACCAACCCATTACGATGAGTGTCTCGCGTGGCGGCAACGGGGGCAGCACAACGCTGGATCTGGAGCCACTACTGGACGAGAGCCATGAAGACAGCGATGCGGATAATAAAACGACCAGCGGCGGTGCCTTGCTGAATGGCTCCTCCTCGAAGGAGTCTCGCTCCGGCAGTGTGGGCCACCGGGAGAGAGAGCGCGAGCGGGACGAGTCGGCGGTGTTCATCAAGAAGATAAGCAGCGCGCTTTTCTACGGCCTGTCGTCCTTCATGATAACCGTGATCAACAAGACCGTGCTGACGTCCTACCACTTTCCCTCGTTCCTGTTCCTCAGCCTGGGCCAGCTGACCGCCAGCATAGTGGTCCTGGGCATGGGCAAGCGCCTCAAGCTGGTCTCCTTCCCGCCGCTGCAGCGCAACACTTTCGCCAAGATATTCCCACTGCCACTCATCTTTCTGGGCAACATGATGTTCGGCCTGGGCGGCACTCAGTCGCTCAGTTTGCCCATGTTCGCGGCATTGCGCCGCTTCTCCATACTGATGACGATGCTGCTGGAGCTGAAAATACTCGGGCTGCGGCCCTCAACGGCGGTGCAGGTCAGCGTGTACGCTATGATCGGCGGGGCTCTGGTGGCCGCCTCCGATGACCTGTCCTTCAACATGCGCGGCTACATCTACGTGATGATCACGAACGCCCTGACCGCCTCAAACGGGGTTTATGTGAAGAAGAAACTGGACACGTCGGAGATCGGGAAGTACGGCCTGATGTTCTACAATTCGCTGTTTATGTTTCTGCCCGCGCTGGCGCTCAACTTCTTCACCGGCGACCTGGAGCAGGCGATCAACTTTAGCGAGTGGCACGACCCCGTGTTTGTGACACAGTTCCTGCTCAGCTGCGTCATGGGCTTCATACTGTCGTACAGCACCATTCTGTGCACGCAGTTCAACTCGGCGCTGACCACCACAATTGTGGGCTGCCTGAAGAACATTTGCGTGACGTATCTGGGCATGTTCATTGGCGGCGACTATGTCTTCTCGTGGCTCAACTGTATCGGCATCAATATCAGTGTGCTGGCCAGCCTGCTCTACACGTACGTGACCTTCCGGCGGAAACGGGCGCCCGATAAGCCAAGCATCAGCCACTTGCCCAGCAGCGCTCGCGGCGAGAATGTTTAGCCTCTGTAGCTTCTCCACAGCTTTAGCTCCAACTCAAGCCAAAGCCATAACACATAATACATAGATCTATATGTTTAGCGTATCCCCAGACCGCACACACACCATCGCCAGCGTCAGCATCGTCTCTGTACATACATATATGAAAGATAGTATGTAAACATTTGTAGTTACTAATTAGCAATTATGTAATTTTAATCACTTTGTACATTTTGTCCCATGCAATAAGTGTTTTTGCTGCATCCAAGAGTGTCATAAGTAAATAGAAAATATACAAACGACAAATGACAGAAATCGTTCGTTGTACCAGCGGAAAAGTGGGGCGAGATAAGCAAGAAAGGTTTTTTGTGGAATGATTAGATTGTTCCCTCATGATAAGAAACATTTTAAGGAACAACAAAATAACCAGCTCACATGTGCGCCACATGTTCCCTCCCTCTGCATTGGAATTTGAATATTCTTTCTTAACGCTTCGTTTATCTAGTTCTGAGTAAACAAACTTAAATCTTATAGTCCCGCAGCGTCATCACTCAACAAATCAGCGCATAAATGAACACGGGAATAATCAAACAATACTTTAGCTATGGGCTATTGAATGCTCTTAATTATTGGTTACCTTAAGGCAATGTTGGTTGTGCTCTAAATATTTTCTAATTACTTTTAAAATAACAACAGACTGATAAGCAGGCAAGGTCCTATCGCTGCTAGCTAGTGGAACGGAATGATTAATGCGACGCTTGATGAGCTGCTTCCCCACCATCAGGTGTAGTCTTTGGTTACTCTATACCTAGTTTGCTGCACGTTCCCTCTAATCGGAACACTTCTTCCGCAGCCCAGTAGCGTTTACATTACAAGTAAATCAAACTTGATAGTAAATTGAAGCTACCTGCAAAGAGATAACAATGACGACATTGAGTTTTGGGCTACCAGTGGCGGCGGCCCTACGGCACTTTTATTTTGAGATTGTCGGTGCTGTGGGGAGCAGGCAGCACCCGAAACAGGTTTGCCCATGCCCAACCGTTGGGCGGTTGATTGTAAACTGCTGAAGTAAATTGTTAGTCAGCGTCTTCGCATTATGGACAAATTGTTGAGGCAAACTCGTTGCCATCGGGGCGTTATGGTATTGGTGCGGGGTTGGGGGCACGTACGAGTGCAGATTGGTAAACCATAGACACAGGTAGCCAGGGTCATGTTTGTGCTCATGTTTGAAGCTTATTGTATGATGATCAACGCTGGGAAGGTCAACACGGGTTGTACATGATTTTGGTCGTATCCACAGAACATGATGATGCAGCGCTGCTGGCGCCTCTCAGTGCCGCTGGGAAAACGCGGCCTTGCCGTCAGCACACACAACCGACACACGGCGGTCACGGATGCCGCAGAGGCGGAGCATTTGGATGCCTTTGAGCAGCAGTATTTGAAGGAGCGCATTGAGATTTCACCATTTCAGAGGATGCTCCTGGGTGCAGGCTCCTCCCTTGCCGCCCTGCTGGATCCCAGGCGGTGAGTGGGATTCAATTTGTAGATGTTTTTGTTTATTCAAAAGTTTATTTCCCCTCGACAGCCACGACATGATCGCCTGTCTGGGTGAGACGACGGGGGAGGAGGCTTTGTGGAACATTCTGGACACCATGCAGGAGAGCGAGGAGGGGCAGCGCATCATGAGCGAGAAGCCGCGCATTCACACCAGCACCATTGACTTTAAGCTGCTGGAATCGCTGCCTGCCGACACATTTGGAGCCGCCTATGTGAAGTTTCTCAAGGATAATGTAAGAAGGATCAAGGGCAGCGGGGAAAAAGGAAACTTTTCACTTTTCTCTACCCTTACAGCAAGTCACGCCGGACAGTCGCATGGCCGTGCGCTTCCTGGAGGATCCCAAGCTGGCCTATCTAATGACGCGCTACCGGGAGTGCCATGACCTGATCCACACGGTGCTGGACATGCCCACCAATATGCTCGGCGAGGTGGCGGTCAAGTGGGTGGAGGCGCTCAATACGGGTCTGCCCATGTGCTACGGTGGAGCGGTTTTCGGTGCGGTCCGCCTACGTCCAAAGTGAGTTCGATGAACCCTCTCTAGCCCAAAGCATTTATTTCATGTTGACTCTTGTTTTTTTGTCTGCAGGCAGCGGCGAGCGTACTTGAAGCATTATTTGCCATGGGCCCTAGAGAACGGCAAGCAAATGAAGCCCCTGATGCCCGTGTATTGGGAGAAACGGTGGGAACAGAATGTGAACGATTTGCGGGCCGAGCTGGGCATTAAATTGTTGAATAAAGTTTGAATTCTATTTATAAAACTCGCCTTTATCAGATTTCGATAAAGAAACTATCGATCGCTGAACGATCTGGCAGCCCTGCGATCGTTTGTTCTGCTCATTCCGATCAACTAGTTCGCTCAATTAAGTTAATCATTGTTTTGTTTTTAAGATTTTTAAAATAGCGCAATAAGAGATTTTTGAAATAAGCATATCATGAAGACAATAAATAAATTTATGGTACGCAAGGGATCGACTTACGAAAAAACCACTAGCTCCGAGTTGAGCTGAACTGATCGTGAAGTGGTTCAGATCATGAACGAACCAGCACTATTGTGATGATGTGTTGCTGTTGTTGTTGTTGATGTTTTCTTTGCTTTGCTGCTTCGTTTAATGGCTAATGGCTAATTACTTATTAAACTCCCACGATGGCCGAGAAATTCAATGGTTTTAGCCACGACGACATACTCAAAATAACCGGAGTGAAGGAGGGCGGCAACGGACACAGGCTAAACAGTGCAGAAGCAGGTTTGTGGCATGAATAATCCTCAATAATAGATTTGTTTATAACAAATTACTGTACGTGTACGTGTGTGTGTGTGTGATTGCAGTGAAGCAAGCTCTACGAAACCAGCCCGGCATTAGGCGCATGCCCGATAAGCATATCCGGCAGGGTCAGCAGGCAGATCAACTGCGAAGGCAGCCACAAACCCAAGCGAAGACTCAACAAGTTGCGGCAGTGCCAGCAGCAAAGAAGATCATCACCAAATCGGGCCGGAGTACACCCACGGAAGCGACGGCAGCACCCACGCCAAACACTGACGTCGCCCCAGCAGAAGTTTCACTCAACTTGGAGCGTCCGCTCTCCGACTCTCTGGTGGAAGCTCTCTACTGTGGCACGGCCTCGGCTCCCTCGACGGGCAGATCGGTTGCTACCACTGCCACGTATGCGGATGCTGTGGCCCCTAGTAGTTGTGTCGTTGCTAGTGGTAACAGCAGCGAAGCGACGTTAGATGACAGCTCAATACTGAAGATAAGCAATAGCAGTAAAAATGGCACCAACGGCAGCTCTTATGATGCCGCCAGCATACTGCCCAGCACCAAAGACTCGTCGCGGGATGGCCTGAATACGGACTCGCCCTTCAAGGGCGTCTCCCTGCAGGACTTTGAGCATCATCGCAGGATGATCCAGGAGCAGAACCAACAGAAGAAGCAAATGCTCTACAAGGCCATCGAGCAGCATACACAGAAAACGGCCGCGGAGTCGCGTAAAATCGAGGAAATTCGTCACGAACTCTCCAAGCTGGAGAGCGATCTGGCAGTGGATGTGGCCATGCTGAGGAAGCAGATTGACAACGCTTGCATACATTTTGCCAATGTAGAGTGAGTAAATGACCCTTTAAAAGAGGCTCCCGATTCATTATATTTCTTTTCTTATACAGAAAACAATATGTGCGAATCGAGGCTCAATTCCTGAAGGCTAAGGTGGACCTGCACAAGGCCTCGGAGAAGAAGGAACTGCTAACGGAGCATCTTTGCACTGTCATTGCCCACAATGAGGATCGCAAGGCGCAGAAGCTCACGGAGCTGATGCAGAAAGTGGGCCTGGCGCCAACTGACGAGCCACCGACCCCCCCGCCACAGGATCTGAATGAATCTTAATGAATAGAATATTAATTTTAATATGTAATTTTGGAATGCTCTGTAATGTTTATGTCTATATACTGTACGTAATTAAGCAACAAAGTGCAAATCGCAATAAATAATGTGTATTTTATGTCTAAATTTGAATGAAGTTAAATTTCTATCTATGATCAGTAAAGGGTACTCTCAGGTCGACCCTCTTGCAACCAAGATATCTGTTGTGATTTGTGTACGCCAATGTGGCAACGCCGTCTAGCAGCTGATCATTTCAAACTAAAATAAACGTGTTTATAAAACTTTTAGACTGTAATTAAGCGGAAAATATAAGCAATGGCAGGACGTGGACGTGGTGGAAAGACTGGCACACTTACGGCCGAGCAACTTGCGATGCTTGGCTGTGTGAAGGATATGCCCGTGCAGTCAGCGCCGCAGCCAACGTTTCCGCCGGTGATGAACAAGCCCATTGCAGTGGAGGTAAGTCTGAGCCGGGTAGAAAAACTGATCAGAATTAATCTTCACTATGCTCCCCTGGCAGACAACAACCGCACAAAACTATCAGCTGCTGTGGAAGGAGCAATTCCTGAATCGTATGCGCGATTCGCCGTATTACATCGTCTCAGCGTGCCAGGACAAACAGCATTTAGAGCACAAAGATTGGCGTGAGGTAAGTACACTCCTCGTTTTTGTGATGGATAAACCACTTGACTCCTCTCTTATACCTGTAGAGAGCTTTGGAGCGAATGAAGCTGAAATCGGAGCCCGAGTTCAACTACAAAGCGATGCCCAGGGAGCTGAATACGACGAATCGCAAGCGTCGTGGCGCAGATGCGCGACCCAAGCTGCTGGCCAAGAAGACCAACATAGAGGACAGACTGAAAGCGTTGGAGCAGAAGGAGCTGAAGACCGGCACCGAGAATGAGCAAGACGATGCCAAGAAGGAATCGGATTCGGAGCAGGAAGACGAGCTGGACGAAGAGGCGGCCCTTGACGATGAAATGGACGACGAGAACGATTATGGCAACAGCTATTTCGACAATGGCGAAGCCTACAACGACGAGGATGACAACCTGGATGATGGCCCCGTCATATAATTGTTTAGTGTTGGATCTCTGATTTACTATGTCGCCACTTTAAGCTTATTTCAAACACATTTCAAGTACAATATACATTAAGATGGAGATGTGGTTTAATCCAAATCCTTGGGGGGGCTGTAGTTGAAGTAAATCAAACCAGACGACTTGACCTGCAAAGGGGAATCAATTAGCATAGAAGGAAGAACAAATGATTGGTCACTCACAAATCCAATGGTTCCGGCCAACACCAACACACCGGCAATGAGGATGGCATTGTATTTGGTGTTCTGTTGGCTGTGCTGCTCCTTCCAGTCACCAGCGGGCACGGGCAAATCGTTCATCGTGGAGTGCTGGTGGTGGCCGCCACCGTGGTAAGCAGCGCGTGACATGGCACCAACTGTAAAAAACACAAAGCAACATTAATAACTGTATTCACGGCATTGGGAAGGCTTCAACTCCTGCGATTGTCCCCCATTTGGTGTCCATTACGCATTATGTAATGTTTAAGGTTAGTAGATGAGCCGTGAAAGTGGCCCTGTACACTGCACTTACCATTTTTGAGCATAAGCCCCTGCTTGACAATGTGCTTAAACAACATGATTGCTCGAAAGTTGCTGCAAAGGTTAAAATTGTTTAATATTTTGGAGTAATTTTTTTTTTCGTTTGCGATTGTCTCACCCCAGAAGATTTTGTGGTGTGACCGTGTCAATCGATACCAATAGCGTTCGCGATAACGATAGGCGAGTGCGCTAAAGTGGCAACGCCAGCCAGCCAGCTGTTGAACTGTGTCTGCGGAGGTGTTTTATTTGCAAAAACAATTAGTAAATAGATAGTTTGCAGCAAGAATTTGCACTGCTCTGCCCGGCGCTACTCGAGACATTCCCTAGCCATGCTGTCCATTGGCGCCTTGGCCAACATCAAGCACATCCTGCAGAAGGAGCTGTTCCTGGCCTCCGGCGAACGTCTCCTCTCAGTGGTGACGGTCGTCAAGAAGAAAGACAAGAAACCCTGCTATTTGTGCGTGGTGACGACAGCGCCGCCGGTGCCGGTGGTCACCCTGTGCCTGGTCAAGCAGTTGGAGCAGCGGGAGACCGAGTACAAGCGGAAACGCAGCTGGCAGCTGGACGAGATAAAGTCTGTCGATGGGCGGAACGAGCAGTTCGAGACGCACGAGTTCGACATTCAGCTGGAGAAGCTCTACAAGTGGTATGCCCTCAACCTGCACGAGCGACAAAACTTCCTCGCCGTCCTCAATAGACAAATCCAGAAGTACGTGCGCGGTACACGCGCTGAGTTCCGCAACGTTCCCAGTGCCTGGCTCTCAGAGAAGTCGCCGGAGAAGGTAGCCCTGGGTCGGGCAGCACAGAAGACTCAACACACCGATGACGAGGATGATGAGGAGGAGGAGGCCCAAGAGTTCACTGCGCTGACGGACAAAGAGGCCAATGAGCTGGGAAAACTGTTCTCAGAGTCGGATTTTGCCATCAAAGATGCGGAACAGTTCATTGAGCAGTTGTCCAGGGAGCTGCACGATTTGGATGGGGTAAGTGGGAGGTTCCAAACAAAGAGATTTTCTTGCTTAAAGTTATCTTCCTTATAGGCCAACATACAAAGTGTGCTGGCATCGGAGCAAAAGGTAATGAAGATGATGGAGCACATTGACAAGGCCATTTCCGAGGCGGATAAGTTTGAAACTCGCCTGGACACCTATGAGGATATACTGGGGCATGTAAGTGCAAGCTAAATTGTGGGAGAAACTAACTTCTTATTGAATATTTCCTTCTCTGGCAGGTCAAGGAGACCATGGAGAAGATTGGCGGCAAGAATGCGATGATTGAGATAGCCAACAATAACAACATCAAATTGATGAAGGAACTCAACAAAGTTATCGTAAGAATCTATACGAAATCGTCTCAAATTATGGCTCATAAGATCTTTTCTCCCTCAGAGCCAATTGGACTTGCCGCACAGCCAACAACAGGCGCTGGATGAGCCCGACTTGAAGACTGCAACTGGCCGCAAAGTGGCCATTGCCGCGGCGCAGTGCCTACAGCAGGCCATGAACAGTGACATTGATCCGGCGCTGCTGCGACTGGAGGCTGTGCAGGATCAGCGCAAACGCTTCGAGAAGTGGAAACAAAAGTTCTCGGCCACCGTCAGTCGTTTTATGAACAATTTGTTCATTCATTTGGGCAATGAAATTGGGGATATGCCGCTGACAAACACCGAACTGTCGCTGCCCAACCACTCGAATGTGCATCGTGAGCTGACGCCCTACACGGAGCTGATGCACTGGACCAAGGCCATGGATCGCAAGACCTACGA